GCACATCGTATGCGGAGAGCTGCAACCCATTGGATTACCGGGTGTCGGGCCGTCACGGCCGCGGAAATATTGGAACTTTTCTTATTAGAGCATTTTTATGAGGGTCTGGAACAAAAAGACCGGGAGTGGTTGAAAGACCGGCGCCCCGCTAACCTACACGAAGCAGCCCGGTTGGCAGACGAGCACCGGGATGCGCAAGTACAGGAGTTCAACAATGCCCGAACGGTAACTCGCCCTGAAGCAAGAGAGGGATACCGATCAACTCCACGAACGGAGTTTCGCAACCCTGTACCCGCAGGTCCTACACGGTACATGGGACCACCCAGCCACTACCCTCAGGAACGCTCCCGACCCACATGTTATAAGTGCAAGCAGCCGGGGCACCTGATAGCGAGTTGCCCCCTTAACAACAATTACCCCAACAATTCTTCTCCAACGGGAAACAATCGTCCAGCTCGAGCGTTTTGCCTGGAACAAGACAGTCCTCTAGAAGAATACCTGGGACCCCTACATGAAGCGAATCCTGTGTATGCCGCCAGCGACAATAGACCGGCAAGAGGTACTACTGGAGGGGCGTCCCACACAGGGGTTAAGAGATACCGGGGCCACGATCACCTTGGTGCAAAGCCGGTTAGTCCCCGACTACAAACGCTCGCCTGACACAGTGGCTGTCCGGGTGGCTGGAGGGGACATATACAAACTACCCACGGCAAAGGTACACTTGGATTGGGGTGCGGGAAAAGGACTTGTGAGGGTGGGAATTATGGACAATTTGCCAGCCGAGGTTTTGCTGGGAAACGACCTGGGACCCATGACTTCAGCTTATGCCCCGTCCTACAATGCTGAGGCACATCCTGTGACGACCCGGTCACAAGCTGGACGAGCCCGAGACCCTTCACCAGTGCGGGAGACGCAGGTAAGACTTAACCCGACTATGACCCCCCCTCCTACCCCGTTGCCCTGGGACACCCCTGCAGCCTTCGAGGCTGAGACCAAAACTGATCCGACGCTCCAAAAATATAGGGAACAAGCCGACACCGGGGCTGGGGGAACAGACCAGGAGACTTTTGCATGGGAACAGGGTCGACTGTACCGACACACAGAGAAAAAGGGGCACCGAAGGAGACAGTTAGTGATACCCCACAAGTATAGGCGGGATATCCTCCGGGTGGGTCATGATATTCCCTTAGCCGGGCACTTGGCAGTAACACGTACCCTACACCGTATTACCCATACCTTGTTCTGGCCAGGAGTACATGCCGATGTAAGGTCCTACTGTAATACGTGTGAGGTGTGCCAACGGGTAGGCAAACGAGGAGACCACCCCAAGGCACATCTCGTGAACATGCCCATTATCGACGAGCCATTTAGCCGGGTAGCCATCGACTTAATTGGGCCCCTGGCCACCCATAGTCCCTCTGGCAAGAGATACATCCTTACCATAGTGGATTACGCTACCCGCTACCCAGAAGCGGTGGCTTTATCCAATATCCAGGCAGACACAGTGGCTAATGCCTTAGTACAGGTATTCTCTCGGGTAGGATTCCCTAGGGAGATTTTATCCGACAGAGGCTCACAGTTCACGGCAGAGCTGACCCAGCAGCTCTGGCACGTTTGCAAAATTAAATCCCTGCTTAGCTCCCCATACCACCCCCAGACCAATGGGTTATGTGAGCGGTTCAACGGAACCCTCAAGCAGATGTTAAAAACCTTTACTCAGGAGTATAGGGACTGGGAACGTTTCCTGCCGCACCTCCTGTTCGCTTACCGGGAAGTGCCCCAGGAAACCACCGGGTTCTCTCCCTTCGAGCTGTTATACGGTCGCAAGGTACGGGGTCCCCTGAACTTGATCCGTGAGCACTGGGAGGGAGAGACAGAGAACGCTGGGGTCCCCATCGTACCTTACGTACTGGAGCTCCGGGACCGAATGGAGCAATTGGCTAAGTCAGTCCAGGCCAACCTCCAGGCGGCCCAGGGACGACAGAAAGTCTGGTACGACCGGGGGGCACGGCGAAGAAGCTTCTGTCTCGGGCAGAAAGTCATGGTCCTAAAACCAGTTAAGACGGACAAGCTGCCAGATAGTGGAAAAGAGAGGGGACACCACTTATGTAATTGCCAGCTGTCACGATGAAAACTTAAGAAAGATATTTCACGTGAACATGCTGAAGGAATACTTGCAAAGACCCGAGGAAGTGTCAGCCATATGTAGCCCTGCGCACGAGGACGCAGATAGTTTACCTATACCCGACCTATTAACCCCTAATTCCCCGGTTGAAATAGTGAGCCAAGTACAGATCGGGGACAGACTTAGCCAAGCTGAGAGGGAGCAGCTACACAAACTGCTCCGAGAGAAACAAGCCATGTTCTCCCAAGAACCAGGGTACACTGAGCTGACCACTCACCAAGTAGATACCCCCGGCCAAAACCCTTTGAGACAAGCTCCCTACCGAATTCCGGAGGCAGTAAGGACAGGCATGAAAAAGGAGATAGACGAGATGCTGCGACTAGGGGTCATTGAAGCTTCCGATAGTCCCTGGGCATCCCCGGTGGTGCTGGTTCCCAAAAAGGACGGCACCACCAGGTTCTGTGTGGACTACCGGAGACTCAATGACAAAACGGTCACCGATGCCTACCCCATGCCCAGAGTGGATGAGCTGTTGGATCGCATAGCCAGGGGGAACTACCTAACTACCATTGACCTCTGTAAAGGTTACTGGCAAATCCCCCTGGCCAGGGAGGCTGTCCCCAAGTCGGCCTTCGTCACCCCGTTCGGTCTGTACCACTTTAAGGTCATGCCGTTCGGGATGAAGAATGCCCCCGCTACCTTCCAGCGCTTGGTGGACAGACTCCTTGATGGCTTCCAGGAGTTTGCCTGCGCATATCTGGACGACATAGCGATCCACAGTGAATCCTGGGAGGAACACTTGGCTCATGTGGGAATGGTCCTAGACCAGATTCGAGCCGCCGGCCTGACGCTAAAGCCCGAAAAATGCCACTTTGGGATGGCTGAAGTTCAGTACCTGGGGCACCGGGTAGGCTGTGGGAAGCAACGACCAGAGCCAGCTAAAATAGAAGCGGTCGCCAACTGGCCCACTCCCCACACTAAGACCCAAGTGCTAGCCTTTCTGGGCACCGCTGGGTACTACAGAAAATTTGTACCGGAGTATAGCGCCATTGCCAAACCCCTGACCGACCTGACAAAGAAAAACCTTCCCCGACAGGTCCTGTGGTCTCCCCACTGTGAAACGGCTTTCCAAGCCCTCAAAACTGCGTTGATTAATGCTCCTGTCTTGGCTGCCCCAGCCCCTAATCGACGTTTTATTGTCCATACAGACGCTTCCATGTTCGGGCTGGGAGCTGTCCTCAGCCAAGTAGGAGATGATGGGAAAGAACACCCGATTGCCTACATCAGTCGAAAACTCCTACCACGCGAAGTCAGCTATGCCGCGGTAGAAAAGGAGTGTTTGGCTCTGGTGTGGGCATTAAAGAAGTTAACCCCCTATTTGTATGGACAAGAGTTCACTCTGGTTACAGACCATAACCCGCTGGTGTGGCTTAACCGGGTCGCTGGGGACAATGGCAGATTGTTACGCTGGAGCTTATCCCTGCAACCCTTTAATTTTACTATCACCTACCGACCTGGGAAGCAGAACGGCAACGCCGACGGATTATCCCGGCAAACAGATCTCAGCCCAGCATAACCCCACGAGTCTGGACAGCCTTAGTCTGCCCCGAAAAGGGGTCAGACAGTGTCTGCCAGAGTGTTCCACAAAGAGGGAGCATTGTTACAAAAGACTGGAAATCACTATGTTGCTGTTTTTACTCACTGATTGATACTGTTTGCCACTGCATAAGTTAAACAGAAAACCACACGAATGGATTACACGAACCCTTATGGAGGCTCCATTCGTGGTACGAACGGGGGACCCCCCAGAAACTGGCGTGTGCCGCCACTTAACCCCGTCACCCCGCAAACTACCGAACGGGCGACCCCCCCGGCTCGCGGAGTGTGGTAGCCATTAACCACCCAGATGGCTGCGGTTTGCGGTTAACCACAATGTAATCGTTATGCCTGGGGGCATCGACGTTCGCACCCAAAGTACCGAAGGGAAAAGACCGAACGATCCACCGAACGACGACCCCCTACAGCGGGTCGCGTGGCGCTCATTAACTGTGGTTTCTGCGGTTAACCACAGGTCAAGTACCCTGCTCCCAGGTGGTCCTCATTCCCTTACCGAACGAGCCCAGGCCGACAGCGGGACTTCGCAGGAACTGATACCGAGTTTAGTTCCACGAGTTAGACACGAAGTCCCGCTGCTCGCTAAACCAGCAGAAAACATGGCCGCCAACAAAGACTAACCATCTCATAATGCCGAACGGACTTTATACGGCAGAAACAGTACATTCTGTTCGTGGGATTAGAGCGGCATTCGCCTGGTTTATCTATACGAACGCGAGCCTTAAAATGAATGGTGGAATGAATGGTTTTCCTGTAATAATGTACAAGTTATGGATTTTTATGTAGTTTTCTGGGGCATAATAAAACGTGGTCTTTTGTGCGCTTGGAGATAATTAGATTGTAAAACCGTTGGCCTCATTATCTCCAAGCTGGGCGGGTACTACTTCAAATGATACAGTATACTGTGATTGGTTACCTGTTTGTACTGTACCTGTATTCCATCAGGTCCACAGGGGGCTGTCCTTGGACCTGAGGAATCACATAAATTGCCATGCTATGTGCCAGTAAAGCCAGTTCGTTTTGACCCTCAACTTGCAGCCTCGACTCATGTTGTAGGGATCCGGGATATTGATGTTTAGATCGTGCTTGGGGATATTCTACACTTACAGCTGATTACCGAAAGTCCTCCGTTCGACTCTCTGCAGCGGGAACCAGGACATCCAAGCGATCAACCCTCCTGCAAGACCGGGGGCAATCGTAACACTGCTTATTCAAATACCGCGGCTGCTATGGTGCTGCTTATTCAAATACCTTGGCTGCTATGGGGCTGCTTATTCAAATACCGCGGCTGCTATGGTGCTGCTTATTCAAATACCGCGGCTGCCATGGAGCTGCTTATTCAAATACCTCGGCTGCTATGGGGCTGCTTATTCAATTACCGCGGCTGCAATGGTGCTGCTTATTCAAATACCTTGGCTGCTATGGGGCTGCTTATTCAAATACCGCGGCTGCTATGGTGCTGCTTATTCAAATACCGCGGCTGCTATGGTGCTGCTTATTCAAATACCGCGGCTGCTATGGTGCTGCTTATTCAAATACCGCGGCTTCCATGGTGCTGCTTATTGAAATACCGCGGCTGCTATGGTGCTGCTTATTCAAATACCGCGGCTGCTATGGTGCTGCTTATTCAAATACCGCGGCTGCTATGGTGCTGCTTATTCAAATACCGCAGCTGCAATGGTGCTGCTTATTCAAATACCGCGGCTGCCATTGTGCTGCTTATTCAAATACCGCGGCTGCCATGGAGCTGCTTATTCAAATACCGCGGCTGCCATGGTGCTGCTTATTCAAATACCGCGGCTGCCATGGTGCTGCTTATTCAAATACCGCGGCTGCTATGGTGCTGCTTATTCAAATACCGCGGCTGCTATGGTGCTGCTTATTCAAATACCGCGGCTGCCATGGTGCTGCTTATTCAAATACCGCGGCTGCCATGGTGCTGCTTATTCAAATACCGCGGCTGCCATGGTGCTGCTTATTCAAATACTGCGGCTGCTATGGGGCTGCTTATTCAAATACCGCGGCTGCCATGGTGCTGCTTATTCAAATACCGCGGCTGCTATGGAGCTGCTTATTCAAATACCGCGGCTGCTATGGTGCTGCTTATTCAAATACCGCGGCTGCCATGGTGCTGCTTATTCAAATACCGCGGCTGCCATGGTGCTGCTTATTCAAATACCGCGGCTGCTATGGTGCTGCTTATTTAAATACCGCGGTAGCTATGGTGCTGCTTATTCAAATACCGCGGCTGCTATGGTGCTGCTTATTCAAATACCGCGGCTGCCATGGTGCTGCTTATTCAAATACCGCGGCTGCTATGGTGCTGCTTATTCAAATACCGCGGGAGCCATGGTGCTGCTTATTCAAATACCGCGGCTGAAATGGTGCTGCTTATTCAAATACTGCGGCTGCCATGGAGCTGCTTATTCAAATACCACGGCTGCTATGGTGCTGCTTATTCAAATACCGCGGCTGCTATGGTGCTGCTTATTCAAATACCGCGGCTGCAATGGTGCTGCTTATTCAAATACCGCGGCTGCAATGGTTCTGCTTATTCAAATATCGCGGCTTCCATTGTGCTGCTTATTCAAATACCGCGGCTGCAATGATGCTGCTTATTCAAATACCGCGGCTGCCATTGTGCTGCTTATTCAAATACCGCGGCTGCCATGGAGCTGCTTATTCAAATACCGCGGCTGCCATGGTGCTGCTTATTCAAATACCGCGGCTGCCATGGTGCTGCTTATTCAAATACCGCGGCTGCTATGGAGCTGCTTATTCAAATACCTCGGCTGCTATGGGGCTGCTTATTCAAATACCGTGGCTGCCATGGTGCTGCTTATTCAAATACAGCGGCTGCCATGGTGCTGCTTATTCAAAGACCGCGGCTGCCATGGTGCTGCTTATTCAAATACCGCGGCTGCCATGGTGCTGCTTATTCAAATACCGCGGCTGCTATGGAGCTGCTTATTCAAATACCTCGGCTGCCATGGGGCTGCTTATTCAAATACCGCGGCTGCTATGGTGCTGCTTATTCAAATACCGCGGCTGCTATGGTGCTGCTTATTCAAATACAGCGGCTGCTATGGGGCTGTTTATTCAAATACCGCGGCTGCCATGGTGCTGCTTATTCAAATACCGCGGCTGCTATGGTGCTGCTTATTCAAATACCGCGGCTGCTATGGTGCTGCTTATTCAAATACCGCGGCTGCAATGGTGCTGCTTATTGAAATACCGCGGCTGCTATGGTGCTGCTTATTCAAATACCGCGGCTGCTATGGTGCTGCTTATTCAAATACCGCGGCTGCTATGGTGCTGCTTATTCAAATACCGCGGCTGCAATGGTGCTGCTTATTCAAATACCGCGGCTGCTATGGTGCTGCTTATTCAAATACCGCGGCTGCTATGGTGCTGCTTATTCAAATACCGCGGCTGCTATGGTGCTGCTTATTCAAATACAGCGGCTGCTATGGGGCTGCTTATTAAAATACCGCGGCTGCTATGGTGCTGCTTATTCAAATACAGCGGCTGCTATGGGGCTGCTTATTCAAATACCGCGGCTGCCATGGTGCTGCTTATTCAAATACCGCGGCTGCCATGGTGCTGCTTATTCAAATACCGCGGCTGCCATGGTGCTGCTTATTCAAAGACCGTGGCTGCCATGGAGCTGCTTATTCAAATACCGTGGCTGCCATGGTGCGGCTTATTCAAATACTGCGGCTGCTATGGGGCTGCTTATTCAAATACCGCGGCTACTATGGTGCTGCTTATTCAAATACCGTGGCTGCCATGGTGCTGCTTATTCAAATACTGCGGCTGCTATTGGGCTGCTTATTCAAATACCGCGGCTGCTATGGTGCTGCTTATTCAAATACCGCGGCTGCTATGGTGCTGCTTATTCAAATACAGCGGCTGCTATGGGGCTGCTTATTCAAATACCGCGACTGCCATGGTGCTGCTTATTCAAATACCGCGGCTGCCATGGTGCTGCTTATTCAAATACCGCGGCTGCCATGGTGCTGCTTATTCAAATACCGCGGCTGCTATGGAGCTGCTTATTCAAATACATCGGCTGCTATGGGGCTGCTTATTCAAATACCGCGGCTGGTATGGTGCTGCTTATTCAAATACCACGGCTGCCATGGTGCTGCTTATTCAAATACCAAGGCTGCCATGGTGCTGTTTATTCAAATACCGCGGCTGCCATGGTGCTGCTTTTCAAATACCGCGGCTGCTATGGTGCTGCTTAATACCGCGGCTGCTATGGTGCTGCTTATTCAAATACCGCGGCTGCTATGGTGCTGCTTATTCAAATACCGCGGCTGCCATGGTGCTGCTTATTCAAATACCGCGGCTGCCATGGTGCTGCTTATTCAAATACCGCGGCTGCCATGGTGCTGCTTATTCAAATACCGCGGCTGCTATGGTGCTGCTTATTCAAATACCACGGCTGCTATGGTGCTGCTTATTTAAATACCGCGGTTCTATGGTGCTGCTTATTCAAATACCGCGGCTGCTATGGTGCTGCTTATTCAAATACCGCGGCTGCCATGGAGCTGCTTATTCAAATACCGCTGCTGCCATGGTGCTGCTTATTCAAATACCGCGGCTGCCATGGAGCTGCTTATTCAAATACCGCGGCTGCCATGGTGCTGCTTATTCAAATACCGCGGCTGCCATGGTGCTGCTTATTCAAATACCGCGGCTGCCATGGTGCTGCTTATTCAAATACCGCTGCTGCCATGGTGCTGCTTATTCAAATACCGCGGCTGCCATGGTGCTGCTTATTCAAATACCGCGGCTGCTATGGTGCTGCTTATTCAAATACCGCGGCTGCTATGGTGCTGCTTATTCAAATACCGCGGCTGCTATGGTGCTGCTTATTCAAATACCGCGGCTGCCATGGTGCTGCTTATTCAAATACCGCGGCTGCCATGGTGCTGCTTATTCAAATACCGCGGCTGCCATGGTGCTGCTTATTCAAATACCGCGGCTGCCATGGTGCTGCTTATTCAAATACCGCGGCTGCCATGGTGCTGCTTATTCAAATACCGCGGCGAGCCATGGTGCTGCTTATTCAAATACCGTGCCATGGAGCTGCTTATTCAAATACCGGCTGCCATGGTGCTGCTTATTCAAATACCGCGGCTGCCATGGTGCTGCTTATTCAAATACCGCGGCTGCTATGGTGCTGCTTTTTCAAATACCGCTCTGCCATGGTGCTGCTTATTCAAATACCGCGGCTGCTATGGTGCTGCTTATTCAAATACCGCGGCTGCTATGGAGCTGCTTATTCAAATAACGCGGTTGCTATGGTGCTGCTTATTCAAATACCGCGGCTGCTATGGTGCTGCTTATTCAAATACCGCGGCTGCCATGGTGCTGCTTATTCAAATACCGCGGCTGCCATGGAGCTGCTTATTCAAATACCGCGGCTGCCATGGAGCTGCTTATTCAAATACCGCGGCTGCCATGGTGCTGCTTAGCGGCTGCCATGGTGCTGCTTATTCAAATACCGCGGCTGCTATGGTGCTGCTTATTCAAATACCGCGGCTGCTATGGTGCTGCTTATTCAAATACCTCGGCTGCTATGGGGCTGCTTATTAAAATACCGCGGCTGCCATGGTGCTGCTTATTCAAATACCGCGGCTGCTATGGTGCTGTGGGGATATTTATGGGATAATAATAGTAAACAGTTGAGAATTGCCTACTAATTCAATTCTCAGATCCCAAAGAATGTTTATCGTGTTACGTGGAAAGTATTTCATATAAATAATCACAATGTATAAAAATAGATTTTTATTTATGATAACCAATTAATTAACAAATAACATGTAACATGCATGACAATAATCAATGAATATTCAGTATAAATTGGTATGCAATACAAAGGAATGGGTATCCACATTTCAATGGCTAAATAGCATTTCCTGTCAAGAATTATTTATGACTATCTTTAACACAGGCTGAAAGTGAAACATTTCACAGCGAAGAACAGAATTCCTCAGAGTGCAGCGTAAGGTCGTAAAGTTTAGCTGACAGTTAGAATAACCCTTTCAATGCTGGCTAGATCTCCTAGGTAGTTAAGATCTATTCTTATGTAATTTTTAAATAAAATAACATTTAACCCAGTTCATTAGTCATTTCTTGAAAAGCATCCAATAAGAGAATCTACCATATTATATAAGCAGATTTTTAATTTGTCTAAAGATATCTATCTTAATTTAGAGCAAATCAATACACCTGGATAAAAACAGCGGTATGCTAACACGTGATAATATCACATCAATATATATTATTCTTAATTCCACCTGCAGAATGGAATGTTTATAACTATATATTCTTAGTTAACTAAGATTTCTTAATATGGAAATCTGACCGTGCTTTATCCAGTCATATATAATGCTATTAATACATTTTAATTAATTTAATTTAATTAAATGAAACCAGTATAATTGCCAGTTGAGTAGATATTTCATCCGATTGGTAGATAGTCTCAGGAACTTATTTGGATGTCTCTCTGCATGGAGGTGTTGATGAAAGTCAGTAAATTCTAAGTGTTAGAGTTTTAGGAGTAGAGTGTTAGTCTCAGATGTTGTCCGAGTTGGAGTCCCCAAACTTCCAATTCCTCTCTCCTCTCCTTTGCATATGTCCTGCATCTGCCTCCCTTGTATCTCTTGCCTATCTTTGTCTTAACTTTTAAAGGGCCAGACTCTCTGTACGTCATCAGTTGATAACCCAATAGAAGCACTAGAGGTGTGGTTATCTTCCAGATCACAAATTAGTTATTTGGTCTGTAGAGGGCAGTCTTGTCCCACTAAACATACCTATCCAGGAAAGAGTTAACTTTTCCTGGTGACTATTTTGACGTCATTTTGGCCTATCTAGATAGTGGCTATAACTTACGTATCCTTCAAAGATCAAAGGGTTTCTTAAATTTTGTCAAGACTATGTGTCTGCAAATCTGCTATAATTTCTGATATGGCAGATCATGAACTAAGTTTACCCTTTTCCATACAATGGTACCTTATATATATATAGACAGTTAAATTTTATTATTTAATCTTCTCTGTCACAATTGTCTGGGTTTAGATTTGATCATATTCCATTAGCATTAGACAATCTGTCCAACCCCCTTCCTTATCACTTGGCTTGTATATACTATGCATTCCTCAGCTCTGGGAAAGTGGTTAGCTTACAGATAGAAATCTAGTGTCTTTTTGTTTTTGTTAACTTGGAATAACAAAATGGAGTCTGGTCTGTTCAGAGTGACTCAGAATATACACTTTTAGTTTCTATCATAGCACAAGATGTCCGCCGATATAAATACCCTGACAGTGCTGCTTATTCAAATACCGCGGCTGCAATGGTACTGCTTATTCAAATACCGCGGCTGCCATGGTGCTGCTTATTCAAATACCGCGGCTGCCATGGTGCTGCTTATTCAAATACCGCGGCTGCCATGGTGCTGCTTATTCAAATACCGCGGCTGCCATGGTACTGCTTATTCAAATACCGCGGCTGCCATGGTGCTGCTTATTCAAATACCGCGGCTGCCATGGTGCTGCTTATTCAAATACCGCGGCTGCCATGGAGCTGCTTATTCAAATACCGCGGCGCATGGGCTGCTTATTCAAATACCTCGGCTGTATGGGGCTGCTTATTCAAATACCGTGGCTGCCATGGTGCTGCTTATTCAAATACCGCGGCTGCCATGGTGCTGCTTATTCAAATACCGCGGCTGCCATGGTGCTGCTTATTCAAATACCGCGGCTGCCATGGTTCTGCTTATTCAAATACCGCGGCTGCCATGGTGCTGCTTATTCAAATACCGCGGCTGCCATGGTGCTGCTTATTCAAATACCGCGGCTGCTATGGTGCTGCTTATTCAAATACCGCGGCTGCCATGGTGCTGCTTATTCAAATACCGCGGCTGCCATGGTGCTGCTTATTCAAATACAGCGGCTGCTATGGGGCTGCTTATTAAAATACCGCGGCTGCCATGGTGCTGCTTATTCAAATACCGCGGCTGCCATGGTGCTGCTTATTCAAATACCGCGGCTGCCATGGTGCTGCTTATTCAAATACCGCGGGAGCCATGGTGCTGCTTATTCAAAGACCGCGGCTTCCATGGAGCTGTTTATTCAAATACCGCGGCTGCCATGGTGCTGCTTATTCAAATACCGAAGCTGCCATGGTGCTGCTTATTCAAATACCGCGGGAGCCATGGTGCTGCTTATTCAAATACCGTGGCTGCCATGGTGCTGCTTATTCAAATACCGCGGGAGCCATGGTGCTGCTTATTCAAATACATCGGCTGCCATGGTGCTGCTTGTGGCAGAAGCAGCCACAAGAGACTGTACCTGCATTATTATTGCGTTGTATTTGTCCTAATAATCGCTGAATACCTGGTATGCGAACCGCTGGAAAGTGCCGAATGCACGACCACCCTGCTGTGGTCGTGTGCTTCCCCTGTATAGAGGGAAACAATGTTGCCAGAGAGGTAATTGGGTTCATGGGTGGCCGCCGTTCGCACAAAACCCACGTGGCGGCGGCCATCTTAACTGCCGAACAGCGGTGTCTGGTCGTCGAGCGCCTGGAACTAAAACCGGGCGCTCGACTACCCAGACACCGCTCAGACCTCCAGGACCCCGGAACTGCCCGATTCAAACTGCCGAACGGCCCGCCGTTCGGTAGGATGAATCCCCCAGACTAGGGGATTCATCCGAACCTAAGATTAGAGCCGGATGGCTGAACATTCGGTACTTTCAGTTCAGTGTAATAGACCGACCGCAGGGCCAGAATCCATGGAGCTGTTTTCGGCTACCAAATCCCTGCGGTCGGTCAAATCTTTGAATGTCTGTAACTCCCGAACCCCCGGTCTGATCTGGGTGAAATTTGAGTATGTTGCTCACCCAGACCAGACCAACCAGGGGACCCCTCATTTGTCACCGTACCCCCTGTATTTAGGGGACATCCAGAAATGGGGGAAAACTCTGTTCCCACTAATGAGCTTAACTGTTAATCTAAGGGGAGGAGAGGGAGAGGAGGTAACCACGATGTGATTGGATATGTTAAGTTACCTCCCTTGCATGGGAAAAGGACATAAAAGCAAATGTGTGAATAAACCTGGCAGTTGACCTCCAAGCTATGTGTCGTCTAGTTCTTGGAGGGAAGGGATTGTAACTACGCTACCTGTTTTGTACCTGTCTTGGATTGCTGTTCCTGTCTACCAGTGGCGCTACCTTGGATAATACCTCTACTCCGCTACAATTGGTGGCAAGCGACGGGATCGTACTACACAGCAAAAAGGAGTCAGCAGGAGTTAAAAAGGACTGAATGGAAACGGATTATACCCTTTTAAAACGGGACACGCTAAGAGAGCTACTAGAAGCGAGAGGGAGGATAGCAAGCAACAAAACAAAGGCTATCCTAATCGCAGAACTCATGGAAGGAGACAGAGTCGCAGCTGCTGCAGCACCTCCAAGGGAGGAGGAATCTGAGTTTGCCAGGGAATATAGGTGCAGGATGGCTCTATTCCCACCAGACGTAGCAGCGCAGAAGGCAGACCAGATTTACAATGATGTACAGGCATACATCATGCTGCGAACGACACCGAGGAACCAACAAGAGGGGGAAGGAATCGCAACGGCTGTCCCCACCCCGCCAGCAAAAGCTAAAATACTGTATCAGGCATTTAAAGCATTTAATGATACCGAGGGGGACATTGATGGCTATTTACAGGACTGTGCCAGCTACATGCCATTAGCACCGAAGACCAAGTGCCCCTGCTAGCGGGTAACCTGTCAGGCCGCGCCGCAGATGCCTACCGAGCCATGCCGGCAGAGGACATCCGGGACTATCAGAAGGTAAAACAAACCTTGCTCGCACGGTATGCCATTACACCTGAGGCATACCGAATACAGTTCCGGAAACTACTCAAACCGGGAAAAGACTCGCATGCAGAATTCGCACACCGACTACAACGGGCAGCCACCGGGTGGATAGAGGCAGCAAAAGCCATCACGTCCCAAGAGATCACGCAGTTGATGGTGCTGGAACAATTCTACCAATGTTTGTCAGAAGATCTACAGATCTGGGTAAGAGATCGTAAACCCCGCACGCTGCAAGAGGCCGCTAAGTTAGCAGATGAGCATCAGGACACCCGGCGGGAACAGCACTCATCTACTAGAGTGCAATCCACGCCAAACGTTCCCCGACTTACCCCAGTAGATTCACCCCGACCAGGGGGGACCTACCAGTCACAACCCCCCCGGTACAACAACAGGGCATCTATCCGGTGCCATACCTGTAACCAGCTTGGGCATATGCAACGAGACTGTCCCCGAAACCGGGCCAGGCCGGCCTGGACTCCTCCACGACCACCAACCACCCCTCGAGCCGCAGTCCACTGCTATCAGGCCAGAGCATTGGCTCAACCTTTCACCCCTACCCAAATAGAGGAACCCTTGGGCACCCTCCATGAGGTAAACCCGGTACAGGCGGCATCCGACAACCGCCAAG